TGGCCTCCAGCCGGGGTCAACCCACCACAGCTTCATCTCAGAAGTAATAAGATATCACACTCCTCCCTCCTTGCTCATACAGAAAGTATCTCTCTGCACTTCCCTGCCTAATTGATATGAATGCTTTTAACTTCCAGCCTTCTCAAATTAGCTTGTCCTGTCTGCCAGACCTAAGGGTAGCCCCACACCTCCTCTCCTAGTGAACGCTAGATTGAACTCACCCTTCTTGAACATGAATATCAAGATAGAGAGAACAGGAGGCTACAAACTGAAGTGTGAGGAAACAACAGACGAAACAGAGCATGAAAGAGTAACAGATATTCACCACTCCGTTGCTATCACCTTTCCTTTTGGCAGAAAGACTTTTTTTTTTCCTAGGTGGAGGAAGATAAGTTGTTTGTTGCCAAATTTGATGGAGTATTTGACTACAGTCACCCCTACTTTGCATCAGCCTCTATAACTGCACCATTTGGTTCTTTGTAGCAGAAACTAGGTAGTTTTCACTGTCAGTGCTGCTTTTCGGGTTTGCTCCAGCAGCATCTGAAAGGGTTGAAAATTTTTCTGAAGAGTGACTATCACAGAGTATACGCAAGACAAGAAGACACATCTGTTCTCTTGTGAAAACTAGTCTCAAAAGCAGTACGAGAGACAGAGAGCTCGCGAAAGGAAGGGGGAGGCAGGCAGGAAGACCAAAAAATAAAAAGCTGGTCTTTTTGTTCATTCTGTGACAAATCTGTATCCTCAGAAGAAACATGTCATACTGCATTTGGAAGAATGCTATAGACATTAATTTTTAGCAGAGAATACAGATTTGGATAACGTGTTGAGAGGAGATGAAGCTACAAGTCTGACGACTGTCTCCAGAAGCTTATACCATTTGTGTCAAGAAAGCACAGAAAATCCTCAATCCAAATAAATGTCTAGGCTGTCTCACACTTGCTCCTGTTAGCCCTGAAAACAAAACATGCTATCATGGAAGGAAAAGACCAGCTTTGAATTAGTGAAGAAAATAAGGCAGAAAAAAAGGAACACTACAGATAGTGGAAAAGGAACAAAGAACAAAAAATCTGGAAGTTATCCTTGAATCATGTGAACCCTCTGGAAAGTCCTAGTCCTCCTAACTCCACAAAGATACAGGGGAATGAAAAAAGTACAGACATGGGCATAAGCATGAAAAAGATTCCTGGTGTGGAAAGACCTTTGGCTTGGAAGAATATGCAATTGAGGACTGGGCCAAAATGAAAGGGGCCTCTTAAAAAAATCCCAGGCAGCACAGAAAAGACAAATGGGAAATGGCTGCTCTTTCAGTACAAGAGCTAGCAGGCAACAGCTTGAGAGCAAACTAAAAGAGATACTTTTTTGTGCAGCCCACAGCTTCACTGCAGACTCCTCGCTACAGCACGTCATGCATGCCAAAAACCTCACATAGCTTTAAAAAAAGGACTGGACAAAGCAACGGGGAAAAAACCTACCTGCAAAGGGCCAGAAATGCTCTAACATCCCACCGTTTTTGTTTTACAGAAACACCTGATCACTGCTAGAGGCCAGCACATTTCCTGGGAGAAAAATCACCATAAGCCTCCCTTGTTTTCATACTCGGCTGCTGCTGGCATCAGGACACTGGACTGAAGAGGGCTTTGACCTCACCTGCACTTCATATGCTCATGCCATTACCCAAAAGTTTGTTCTCTTTCTTTCCTGATCGACAACAGGTGAATTAAAAACACCCTTGGATTTCACTGCTAATGTCCATCTGCAGACGTCCCCTCGCTCATCTCCCCGTTCCTTCTCCACAAACTGTTGCACAGCCTGGACACGGCTGTGCAGCTGACCAGCACTAATGTGACTAAATTTCAAAAAACCGGCAACTGTAATTATGAAATTGCTAAATCTTTTAACAGCAGCCTCACTGTTTAATCTCAGTACATTATCAGATATAAAAAAATTCCTAAGTCCCAAATAATTAAACATGCAACACGTTTCAACGCTTCTCTACAAATAGCCTTAGACTTTGAATCAAACCTGCAGGGTTTACTAAACACTCTTTTACAAATGTTTGAAATCATCATGTTCAAACATTCTTGGGAAAAGAGCTTCAAAAGGTACTGGATACAAGTTAATCTGACCAAAACACGAACTTTAAAAGAGCGAGCCTTACACCTAGGCTGTGGTCAAATTAATGAGAGGCAAGCCACAGGTATTACACACTTCCTGGGAGCTCTACCTCCAACCCCTCACCATCAAGCAACCTCTCTGCTTTTCATCACACTTACTTCTCTTTCTTCCAGTTGTTACTTTTCTTCCCTTGTTTACACAGAGCTGCTCACTGTGTACTCCTATATTTGACACAATACCCTGTACAGTTGAATGCAGAGAGAGCTCATCAATTTAAAGTTCATGCTAACAGCGAGGCAGCAATAGACGTAATGAATGTACTTAAGAACTGTAGAAGGGCTAGAAACTCCCCATTCCCTCTCCCAGCAAAAATATGAGTGGGCACAGTATTGCATGTGCAACACACATTAATTCTCTCCACAGTGATGACTGAAACCAAAGCAATTCTGCGATGAAATTGGACACGCAGTACACATACTGCCTAAGATCTGTCTTCCTTTATCATCTCTTAAATTAATTATCCTGAATTAATTACCCAACAAGCTTGAGGATCAGCCTAACTCAATTTGTGAGTACAGTGTTTAAACAGACAAGCAACGGCCCTACAGGATCCCGTTAGTGCCCTTTGGTGTCCCAGGCTCCCTCCCCAAGCACTGCGGTCTGCAGTACAGCAGTCCTCATAAGCCAAGATGAGCACAGACTGAATTGTTACAGGAGCTATTGAATGGCTTTCATTAAAGCTGACAGGTGAAGGATCAGCATTTCATTAAGATTTTCTTTTAATATTAGGCTTATATGATTCTAAATACATCACACTGGATATTCCAATATTGATCTCCAGATACATCAACTGCACAGTAGCTTACTTGGAAATACATTCACCTCTCCCATGGAGACAGATTCATGCAACCGAAGTTTCTTGGCTAAAAGTACTTAACCACAAAAACCACTTTTTTTTTTTTTGCACAGACAGAATCTTGGATCTAAAATGCAACATAACCATCACGGAACATGTCAAACAGGGAAAGCTCTCCAAGGAGACAGGGAAAGATGAGAACAGGCTTCCTTCTCTTTCTACAGCTCAATATTCAATATCACTTTACTGTCACTTCACAATGCTTTAACCAAAACCTGAGTAAAAGCTAAAAGCAACACAAATCCTAAAAAGAACACACAAGCAGGAAGCCCAGAAGCACTGCGCCTTCCACTCATTCAAACTTTAGATACTACCTTCCTCTTTCTATTTCCATTACTCACTCTCCTTAAAGGCTGCCACTGCAGTTGCAGTGAACCCTGAACTCTTCCCTTCTCCGGTAAACAATCCTTTTCTTCGCATTAACACAGAATCAGGAATATAATTTTATTTCCATCATCTCACAATTGAGGATCCTGTTTACAAAAATATCTTCCTGATATGCACTTTTCAGTATTTTTGGACACACTTTATTTTTCAGCATATCATAGCTAAGTCATTAAAATGTCAGAATTTGGATGCTGTGGTTACATTTGACTTCTACTGAGAACAAATAACATTTGACAGTACTTAGTAAAATGACTCATGCCACTTCATTTCAAGTAAAGCATCAGAAGTGGAAAACACACTAAATGAATGGAGATGGACTTGTCAGCATTTGGTAGGAAAGTTGCAGGAGGGTGGTAGAAGAACTGCTGCAAACAAAAGGCTGCCACACTAACCTGTTAGTGGATCCATTGTAGCAGTAGTTTGGAAGGAAATCATAATTGAGTTCCCAAAAGACATGAAGAGTGATTCTTCCATAAGGGGCTGACACATTGTGATTGGCTTCTCTGAACATGGCATCAAAGCTGTCCAAGGTCATATATCTACTCAGAAGCTTGTGAGTCATTTTGTTTATCTCTATCAAGCCGTCCAGCTCCTACAAAAAGCAAGAGGAAAGAAAGTTAGCAGTGCATTTAATAAAGTGGAGAAACTCAACAAAGTACATAAATAACCTTGACCAGACAGAAGACTAGGAGGAAGTCAAAACAAAACAAATGACTCTCCCGCTGTCTCTTACTTGAATAATAAGAGCTGGAAAGAATCAGTGCTCTTGGGAGTGGTTTTGTAACTATCTCCCACCAAAACCCTCTAAGACTTTAAGTGTATTCATTAAGATCGGTCCACACTGCAGACGGGTCTCAAACACAGATCTGTGCCAACTTTTCTTCCACCGAGCAAAAGTTAAAACTCCAACATTTAAATGGGATCAGACATAGGCCAAGAAGCATCTTCTGCATTTCCTACTTTACAAGCTATCACAAAGTAATTTCTGCTCAGTAGGGCAAGTGGTGAACTAACTTTTCTAGTGGTACTGATAGGGATAACATCACATTTACCCTAAATCCTTCTCATGGTTTACTCCAGTGAAGAATGTATTAAGATGCAATGAAAGACCAGACCAGACATTTATAAGTGTTGTGAAGATATCCACAAAATCAGTAGCTGCAGAGTACACAACTATATATGAGCACTGCCTTTCATAACGTTTCTCCTCTTGACAAGAAATTCCTAGTATGGGAGAAGGGGATAAATCCATCTCTGACATCAGACACTGAAAACACCAAACACAAAGAACACAACCTCTCACCCCAACAAAACCCCAAGCACTACTTTTAAAAACTGTTGTGCAATGACCTAGTGAAGGAATGTCCAGTGGCTTTGTTTGGCTGTGCATCAAACTACCGGTCATCTTCCCATACAGTGCTGTCAGATTTAATTGTTCCATGTTTCAAAGGACTTTCAAACCTGTGAGTAACAGTTACTTTAAGGAAAAAGAACCACTATGATTGTTATTACAGCATGGAGTACAATCTGAGGAAAAAAACAGCTCAGTCTTCTAACTGCCTTCATATAATTTCTGTTTCTGTCAGAAACTAAGAAAATCCTGCACATAAAGAAAAAAACTACATTTCAATAAATCAAAGATTATAACACCAAGCGCTGAAAAGTCAAGAGACTCTTTGGCCTCAGTATTTGATTTATTTTCAGTAAAGAATGAAATTAAATCAAGGCAGTTAACTGCATGACAAAATCTCACTGGTGAAAAATTTATTATGGAAAGACTAATGATAAAATTTCTTGCATAACTTTTATATTTTTTTCATTCCAGCAGAACTGAATGTGTCTGATATTTTTCTTGTTGACGACATATTTACTTGTCAAATTCATGCCGTCTGGAAATAAAATTTAGTTTTTAGCATTTTAATCAGGAAACTAACTCAAAAAGACACCTCAATATTGCACAGATGCTCTTCTTCTACAGGAAAGTCAGATCTTGTTCCTCCACAAAAAAATTATTTTTGTCATGCTACAAAGCCAAGCTGCCTGGGTAAATAAACTCATTTTGAATCCACCAGGCAGAAGGCTGTTTTGTTTTGGTCTCCAATTTGTCTATAAGCATGGACAAAAGTGGGCATTTACAAAAATTTAAATCACAAGAATGCTCATTTTCCTTGTTTCCTCCTGGCTCCTAGTATATGCCTTCTCTACAGGTGATGTTTACACCTTACTCCCAAGGCCCTCGGTTACAGCAGGTTTATTTTTTTTCTAGGAAAGGAAAGAACAAGATTCTCAGTCTCAAGAGGACTGGGACTTGCAGAGTGCCATGTACGACAGCATACTCCAGAGTACAGTGCCAGATCAGGCCAAAGCACTGTCCGAAGAGAGATACAGGTTAAAGCATGGGGAGAAAAAAATCCTAGCACATCCGATTAAAAAAAAAAAAAAAAAGGCTAGATGTCTATCACTCTCAATACAAATAAAAGAAATAAGAAATAAATTAAATTAAACCAAAACAAAATTAGCATCTAGACCCCAACTGCAGCATTAGTTGCAAAACTGCAACACAACACTCACCACAATGGAAGTCAAGTCCTCACTTTCAAATCGACCAATTGCCAGTTCCATTGACCTGTACATGGCTGCTGAAATTCGCTGAGTGATCAGTCGGTTCAGGTCTATTGACCTTCCAAGAAGCTAAAAAAAAAAAAAAATGCTATGAAGTTTTGAACTGCCAAATTACGAGACAAGCTGTACAAGGAATATGAGACTCCACAGATTAACAGACTCTCACATGGTGAACTTGCATTCCAAACACACGGAAACAAAGCAGATGGACAAAATTTATAAATTCATGAACAAATGAGGTACTACAATTTACATCCCAATTCTCACAAAAAGAAGTAAAATCACATGTTGCATTTACATCTAAGTATTTATATCAGCATTTTATGCTTCCATGACATTGTGCCGACAACATATTGAAAACTGGTGAAAGACATTACTAGGAAGACAACGCTACCACACATGACATTCCTATTTGGCTTGTGTTTGCTTAACTACAACAGACATTTGCATTAAAACAGGATCATTTAAGGTTTTTTTTTTTCTTAATTTATTCCTTCATATGACAAAAAAAAGCTGATCTCAAATGTCAGTTATGCCACTTAGATGACAGAACATAAAGCACAGGAAGAGTTTCATATACCTACATAAATCAACCCCATTGAAAAATTGCCAAGCAACTCGCGTACCATAGAGCATGATTTAACTCACTTGGACATGTCTCTGTTTCAACAGTGTCTCATAGCGGTTGGACTGTAGCAACTGAATGGTTGCTCCCTGATTCTTGCATTCTGAACGTAATCGTTTATCCAGAAGCAGGCTATTAAGAAAGGAAGAAAATGCTTAAAGTATATTAGACAGCAAAGCAGAGCAGAAATGCATGAATGAGAGTTCTCACTACTAGAATAGCTACCTGCCAGCCATTGCCTTGTAGTACGCAAATATTTGGTCTGCCAGCTTGTAGACAAATTGGTCAAAACATAGGTTTACCTTGGGGAGAAAAAAAAATTTCGTGTATAGAGATACTTAAAAGAAGGGAGCTTACCCAAGACTTCCCACTGTTTGTCAAACATAATTAAAGTTAATGCACCCAAATTTCCCAGTACAAGAGATGACGACATCCAATTTTCAACATTAATGTGAGGCATTTTGCACAGGTCTACAGGTTTCCTCACAACATATCACCCAACCAGTTACCCATCTTCTGGTGTTTCTTCTCATTTTATTTATTATCTCCAACTGTTCTGAATCTCTTGTAATAGGTCTTGGCCTTTAACATCATTTTCACATTCAGGTACAGACTATTTTTCTCCAGTATTAAGGTTACTTTACCTCTGCCTCAATCTCATCATAGAGGAACTGCTTCTTAAATTTAGTAAGTGCGTAATGAGCACTGTCATTATAAAGGTCCAAAGAATACAGAACATACCTGAATGAAAAAGAATTAAAAAAAAGAGTTACATGTCTATAGAAATTATAATTCTTTAGGATGGTGCAGTCAAGATGATGTGAGCCAGTCAATATTGTAGACCACACGTGGTTCATGCAAACAGGATCATTTTTTTTGTTGGAGTTTTACATAAAAAAGTATCACCATTTCTCCTTTAAGAAAGTTTTTTGTTAGTTCAAGAAATTGTATAGAGAAGTTTGCAGTCTGAAACTTGTTTTCTGGATGTAGCTTTCCATCAAAATGGGAACTATGCTTTTACCACTATACATTGTATCTGACATCTTCCAGGAGTAAGAACTCACTCAGGGAACAATGTATTTGGCTGGTGCAATGATACTTATATGAAAGGTTTTGTACTTCAATTATTCACTTCAAAAAGAAAACTTTGAGAATCTGGAAACTGGCAAATGTAAGAGGAAAATTTTATGAAGGTGTAGAATACCTTCTCAGTGACTGCTTGTTAAAACCAATTAAAGCAGTTATAAGAAATGGCAGTTATACTAATAAGGAATGGCAATCATTAAGAATAATCATTCAGTGGAAGAGCACAAGTAGGTCTTACTCCATCATTGATGCCTCTTTGGTCTCCAAAATATGGTCCGTCAGAATCCAAGGCATGGACATCTCGATGGGAAACTGGATTCTTCTGCCCATGGTCAGCTCTAAGAAGAATTCCCTGAACCACAGCTGGGACAGATCACAGCATTGCTGCAGGGTTTCTTTCAGAATAAATAAGGAAGAATTACACTTCTTATAGAAATACATCAGGAGCAATACAACTGTGATTCTGATGATGCAATGTGAAACAAAAAAAGCAGGCGTGAGTCACTAGAGCTATACATAGGCCAAATATGTAAATCAAATTCAAAACATAAAGCCCATGACTTTTTCAAAGAGCTTTGAATTCCCCGTTGGCCCCCAAAGGGGTGCCTTATTACAACAACAAAAAAAACTAACTAGACTAACAGACTACCAATTAAACAGAAAAACTATGTACACCAGTAAATGGGGATTTCTACTTTAATCTCCCAGCTGGGGGCTGAGACAGCTGTACACTGAACTTGGGAAGCAGCAGGCGAAGGAGACAAAATTGTACCAGATCCACCAGTACCATCTCTCCCTCTGGAGGACTGAATCGCTCCACACCTTCCTGTTGATTAGATGGGCAGGAAATGACAGACACACACATGAAGGAGGGATTAAAACAAAAAGTTTCTAAGGCCGTTGTCAAAGGCGCCGAGGTGTGCTTCCCACCACTCCAGAAAACACTCGGCACAAGCCTTCTTTTGCGGAAGGCTTGAGAACCAAAATGGGAATGAACTTTTTACATTAGGATGTCCTGAAGACCTTTTGAAGTGCTTTTCCCCAGCAGCATTATGACTGACATTAACAGGCTCTGAGGGTAGAGTCCGGTAGCAAAACAAAAATGAAAGACAACACAGCATGGTGATGACAAAGACTAGATACATTCAATGTCAGTAGGTGAATGCTTTAGGACAGCATGTTTCCGATTACAATTAACTGAATAGTAAGAGTAGTGAAATGACATCAAATTTACCACAACAGAGAATTTGTTTCCTCCGTACTTAAAACATAAACAAAAAAATCCCCAAAAAACCCAAAACACAAAAACTACTTCCTTTTTAAATTTTCAATGTGTATAGACTTATCTGTCCCTTGTTTATATAAATATGTACATAAAAAAAATAGAAAAGGGAGGTAACAATATGAATTTTGACGCATTATAAACAAATGTATAACAAGTCAAAATAAAAATCCCACCACAATACTGAATATCAGGTCTCAGAAAAAGTTTGGACAGACCAAGGCTTTTGATAAATAAACCAAAGGTAAGTTGACTTAGGCAATCGGAAACATTTTCCAGGTCGTGTTAGAGGTGTTAGGACATGCTAAGCTGGACACTGATCATCTACATATCTTACCACTGAAATTTATCAAATGAGTGTAGAAGAAAGACTCGCGATGGAATTTTTCTATGTCCAATATGGTGGGCCCCTCAAGGCTACTTCTCAAGGTTTTCTTGGAACCACTTTTGTCAGCAATGAGGGACTCTAACATAGTTCTCACCATGTAAAGCTGTATCATTAAAGGAAACAATTGTGGTGGAAAGGGGGGGAAAAAAGGAAAATACACATGGTACATTAGTTGAGCAACACTGAGAATTACTATCAGTAAGCGACTGCTCCACTTCAAATTGAAAACTGGCACTGTGTGGGTAAAAGCCTTTCAGGCGAGAGGAACAGAAGCAACGCTAGCCTACGCACCAGCACAAACGCCTACCCATGCCAAGGGGACCTCCACTGACGCTTAGCAGCAGACCATTTGCAGTGGAACAGTTCACATCACCACAAAAAGTAAAAGTAATAAGTAATGTCTTACCACCAAAGTTTAAAAGAGGCGGATAGATGTAGGACTGCCTCAGAAACTTGTGTGTCACATGCAATAGCTTTTCCAATCCCAGAGACTTGAGCTGCTTCAACAGCTCAGCAGAGTTTAAGGACTCTGTCATAGTGCGAACCATGTAGAGCTAAAAACCAACAGACAGGGGCAGGCAGGGGAGAGAGAATCCGTTAATAAAAACACAAGGGTAAATAAGGAAGGGGAAACAGAAGCAGAGAAAACGTGTTAGTTTGTTAAAAGTGAAAAGCAGCACAGTACGCATGCAGAGGAGGACATACAGAAAGGTTTCTCTGATCAGAATAATCACTGCAATCCGGGGCTCCCTCGAGCAAAGGGAAAAGTTCCCGTTCATTTCAGAGGATGCTCAGAGAGCCATTAGCTTCTCAAATGATATCGCAAAGATTTCCAAGTATTACCAGTTCATACACAGCCATTTTAGAACTGCATGAAACTGAGAAAAACCTATCTAAAATTGATATATTTGACCTCCCTTCCTCCTGTCAGCCAAGACAGACAAGCGTGCCAGCGCAAAAGCAGAAAAAGCAGAGAGAACCATGTGCTCTAAACAGCCTGTTGCAGCCAGTGAAACAAAGCCCTTAAACATACTAAGCACAGGAGAAGCACACTGGTGGTAATACTTAATTTTTCCCCCCAGAAAATTAGAAATCAAAACATTTTTTCCTGATTTCCAAAACAAAATCTTCATTAAACTCATCTCAACTACAATTTAAGCAACTTTCTATTACCCAAGATCATTATTCATATGTGTTCTCTTCCCCGCAGATTTTAGGAATTAAAAGATTGTCTTTACAAACCATAGTTGCCTTCAATTTTTCACCCAAAGTGCTCAGCACCTGATTTTCTCAGATGAGCTATGAATACCAGACCATACACTCTCCAAACAAACCCACAAAGAAAATAAAAAAAGAGAATTATATGGAGGTAACAAGAACGAGCATCTAGGTATGGGATTTCAATGACTACCACAGAAAACACACTTGAAACACACTCTTGTTTTACCAGCAGCAGCAAATTAAATTGATTTTAGGGAGCAGTTTTATCATTCATTACTGAACAGTAAGAGGGATCTTGTCAGAAGTCAAATACTCTCCCATATTTTACAGGCAATCATTTATATTTTAAATGTATTTTAAAAATACGTAGACATCTATTGAATAATCGGATGTAACAAAAAAAAAATCCACCAGTCATAGCAGAGATGAGAGTCAGTCAAGAAATAATTCAAATAGTTCAAAAATATTATTTAAAAAACATTAGGAGCTCAATGAGAAAATATTTCTTCCCAGGAAGCCAAATTAAAGATATTGAACACTTGGAAAAATTATGCATCAGAGTAGAAAGTGACAGCAACCCAGACAGAGGATTTTGATTAAGTATATATGATTTTGTAAATATAAATCTAATCAGAGTAGATTTTTAGCATTTAAAAAAAAAAAAAAAAACAAACCTGCAATTTTTAAATAGTTCAGGCCAGAGAGAAAACATTTCATGCAATAATTGTTGACAGATATCGCAACCACCAGATGGGAAAATACCTGAGTGCTGGAGGGTCCCACTGCACGCCTTGGGACTTTGATGTCAAAACCACTTTTGGGGTCTTTCTCTCCCCTTAGAGCTGGGTCATTGAACGGCTCGTGACCCGCTTCCCAGTCACAGACTGTCTTTCTGATGGCCTGCAAGACACTGAACACAATTCACACTATTTCAGACATCCAGGTGCACTGATAAGAACATTTTACGGTTTTAAGCACTCTTGCACAAGCACAGAAATTTTGCAACAGCATTCGGGAGCTCAGGGTAACTCAGAGCAACCACAAATGATTTCACCAACAACTTCAACGACACCACATCCATGAAACAATGGCTCCACACTGTTTATCAAAAAAAAAAATAGTCCAGAGCCCTTCTCCTCTGTCAGAAGAAAGCTGACCTCTGAAACTGGTTCACCAGAGACAAAAGTCACTTGTTAAGAATTCACCTCTGGGATCCTTAGCAAGCACATCAAACCACTTTGTTCTCCTAAACCACAAAAAAAGCAGATTATTCAATCAAATGAAAGCAGCTTATCAACCAAACGAGAGACACACAATTCTGGCTTGAAATTAAAAGAAGCAGCAGAATTCCTGCTTCCGGCAGAACTCCAGAATTCAGCTGGAATTTACAGCTTCATACTCCTAACTCCAAATACTGAACTAGACTTCAGACACCTGTCAGAAACACAGCCAGCCATATCCCATGACATGCTGAATGATCAAGCAAATGTCTACTCCCAAATCTGAGCAGATTTGAAAGTAACACTTCCCTATTTCATGAAAGTCCCTAGGACAAAGAGTGTCCCTGCAAATTAGCCAAAGTCTTTCACTTTTAAGAGCTTTGCAATGAAACGTGGTAGTAAACAAATGGTAAACAAGTCAAGGTTAAAAGCAAACAATTAGGGACAAAAAAGTAAAGTCAGGAAATGCTGCCAATCAGTGTGGGCAGATGGAGCACTTGGAAGAGAGGTGTAAGGCTAATACACCAAAAGCAGCAGAAGCTGAGAAAGAAGGCAGGATACTAAGAGGGCAGAGATGAGGCTATGGGGTGGGATGTAAACATGAGACACAAGGAGAGAAAACACTGGAATCGTAAGGAAGGTGGACAGTAACACCTTTCTTCAAAATAAAAATACTACTCTTGCTTTCTGTATTACGGTACTTCTCTTTCCTTAAAATAAAAATAAATTACCAGGAACACAAGACTTCCTGCGGTTGTCCTAAGTGGCTCAAGACAGCCTGGACTCTTACCGTACCCATGCTGGCAACCATTGACTTCAGAATTCTTCAACTTTCAATACCTATTCAACCAAGCTAACTTTGAATACCAGACAGACTAGTAGGGGAGTACAGACTTAAAAGAGACAAAATTTAACAGCTGTGCAATTCTGTAACAAATTTAGTAAGATATGAGGTAAACAATATAGGAGAAGATGAAAACAAGAATGCTACCTCTGAATGACATTTTTCTTCTTTTTAATGGCTTGTCTTAACGGCTCTCTAAGCGTGACCTGAGCAAAGTCCTGAAGAGCTGCATAAATGGTATGGCGAATGGCATGATTAAAAACACTTTCCATCCTTCCCATCAGCACCTGAAGACCTTTGATCATGGCAATCACCTCGGGGGGGGAAAAAAAAAAAGGTGTATTTTTTCTTATTTTGTTTGCATAATTGTTCAAAAAGCCCCTTTTCAAATACAGAAAATGAGAAAAGAGGAATTAACAAGTTCCAAAAGATGAAGGATAGTTTTACTGTGCTCCTCCTACGTACTGAATGGAGGAAAACATGCTCTTTCAGAGACAACTCAGGGCATGCTGTCTTTTTGCACTGGGTATAGAAAATGCTTATAGAGGATGTTCTCCTTTGTATAGAATTAATCTTTGGAAAATCCCTGTAAAAAAAAAAATTACCTTACCTCAACCAAAGCAAACTTCTCCTCACTAGTATAATTGTATCTTGTTGCTCTTTCATACTCTTCTGCATTGTCAGGACAATCTTTATTAGAATATTTGTCAGTTGGGTGTACCAGCTTCCATGAATACTGCAGTTCATGCAGCACAACAGGGAGAAACAAGAAAAGAAAGAAAAAAAAAAAAAGCCTGAGAAACATGAAACATAGCTGGACACAAATAACATGCTTTAAGAAATACTCCAGTGAATTCAAGAATATCTGGGGAAAAAAATAGTACTATTCTCAAAACCTGCATAAATTCTGAAACTACTACCTAGTGGAAATGCCAAACAATAATTTGCCTAAAAAATTTTCTTGAAAACAAGCAATCCTGTATTAGCTCAAAAAATTTAACTGACACTCAGCAGGTGTTACACTTCAGGGTATTTTTTACTGAGCAAATGCTACCGTAGACAGAAGTTTCTTCCCCACTTCAAGCACGAGAAACACAGAGACCTCAGGGCATAATAAAGACATCCATCACACCCACACACAAAAAGAAGAGCTTCCAAACTGGCCAAATATTCACATTTAGAATTCAAAAGACAACTGGAAAACTACAGTTTGAGGAGGAATGGGGGGGTGTATGTTTAAAGGTGTGGAAATAGCTGTATTATCTATGACAACATCATTTGCACAGCATGCATTTCTCTTAATTACTGACTTTTCAGTCACGGCAAACACAGCTCAAAAAATTCCTGTGCAGTGTCAGGCTGATCTAATAACCATTGGGGTGCACCTAGTGAAAAATCCTAGTCCCATTCAAATACAATTTTCTCGCAGTTTGAGTTCAGTGAACAGTAAGGTCTGGTTGATATTATCTTTGCCTAAGTGTTAGATTACAGAGCAATACAAATTTGCCTACTATCATGGATTAATATTTGCACCAATTGACCTATGGCAAAGAAGAGCATCACACCCTGCAACCTAAGTGCTACAAAGAGGACACTGGGCAAATTATTAAACAAAGATGAAGTATTTTGGAGGCATTAAGTTGACAGGGTTAAATTGGACATCAAACATATGCTGAAACTTTTTATCTGAACATGATGCATGTAACGAGGTTCATGGACAGTGAGTGAATGCAGAAGACGAGTAAATAAGTAGGATACTCCAGATCAGAATAAATTCTCAGTAGGAGGACAGGGAGAAGGTGAACACAAACTTACATGAGAAGTACTTAAAGAGAATCCATACAAATCAGACAGACAAAGCAAAGCAGTGATAATAGGCAAAAAACCCCCTGCTGTGGTCCTCAGAGAAAGTTTGTTCTGGAACTGGGAGGATAGAAACAGAGCAAAGAATGAGAGACTTTCTACAGAGATATAATACAAAGGAAGACTGTCACTATGAAGAGAGAGCCTGAATGTAGCAATTTGCAATGACAGAAACACAGGGAGCAAGTCTGGGGGTTGCAGAGGCCATAAATAGATGACAGCAACCTCTCTTAAGAAGGAGAAAAGGAGAACAAGATTTTCACCATAACATACACTGCTGATTTATATAGGAATAGGATAATACAGGAAAAAGTATGACTCATCTACTGGCTTTTAAAAGAGGCAGTTAAAAATATAGAAGAGGAAGAAAACTGGGTCTCTAGCTAGTGATCTCCCACAGTGACTGCACTGGATTCACACAGTGCAAATGGCTTGACATCTGCTCAGACATCAGAGGCAGAGGAGGAGCAAGTCTGGCTTCTCTCATACAACATGTCATCTGTTTCAACCCTTCCTAGAACATGCTTTGGTACAGGTAAGACATGCAGCTTTTATCTAAGTGTCTGCAGCATAAAAAGGACTCCTGCATCCTCCTCTTCAATCTCTACCTGAAGCAGTTTCTTATTGGAAAAAACAGTCACTTTTCTAACTGGCATCTGTTTTTAAAATAAGTTATTAAAATATACAGAAACAACTCTGCAGGTTCTTTATTTTCCCTCCCTCATCTCCTCTCAAATTTTCCTTTCCCCACATTTACTTTCTTTTTGACTAAAAGCCTAATGTAAAGCCAATGGGAGCCTTTCCATCCATTTTTGTGTCTTTGGTTAAGACCTTGCATGCTTCAATTTATGAAGCGACGACGTCTAAACATAGCCAGCTGATCACCTCCTGTGTGACTGCATGTTGGTACGATATTTCTAACAGAATATAATTTTAAACAACATTTAGAAGAAAACAATGAAGTCTTAATCTACAAAATGTATGTATCCAGAGCAACATAAAAACATCTGGTCAAGGCTCACAGGTGATCACCTATCCATTAAATATAACAACTTGAATGTACTATATGAGACTGTATGAGCTACTGGATCTTCGAAGCAGCAACATTACTCCTAGCCTCTGAGAACTTCATGTGCCTTCCTCTGAGAATGTGGTTTGGAGCAGGAAGAGAAAAGGAGTGAAGGAAGAAGGAAGAGGGCAATTAAGGGAACAAAACATAAAATGCATTTTTCATTCGGTAAAAGCAAAGCCTGTCCAACCTCACCAAGCTGCCTCTTTTCATCTGGTTTTATTTCCCAGATAACATACCACTTCCATGACATGTGCACTCCACTGAGAGAGAAGCTGCAGACCTTGGAGAGAGAGATCAAAGAGCTTCCGATACTCCGCATCTGTTTTTTGAGCTTCCTGTCGACCAGACCCAGTCACCACCTAGAAATAATTAAACAAACAAACAAAAAACCCAAATCAAACCCACATCAGAACATGCTGTACCCAGCATCCATAGCCAAATTTCTACATAGATTTCTTTTAAGCATTAAAACAGAATCATGTACCAACACCTGCATTAATATCAGTTTTTTATTCTAGAGACTTATATAGTTAAACTTCACAGATTTAGGTCAAGAGATGGAAACCACTGGTATCCCTAATCACCAAAATATTGTTACAGATGAACACAGATCAATTCAAGACATCAGTTATATATATTATATATATATGTTCTATATATGTGTATTTTTATATGTATACATATACGTGTATGTGTATATGCATGCATTTCTTTTTTTTTTTTTAACTAATCTCTTAATTTTTAGTTTCATTTAAACTGTTATGAGCACTCGTTTGGAGTAAGGGCTAGACCACCTATTCCAAAAGAGACATGCCAAAAGTACTAGGGTATGTATCCTATATATAGAGAGAGGGAAAAAGACAGAAGAATATATGATGTGTCATTATTATTTTAAATTGAAATAGTGCAAATATCATGCAGAGAATGGGTACTAGCCCTGCAGCCAGCTTTTCTTGATTCAGGTGATCAAGCTTTGTCATTTACCTAGCCTGAGGTTTACTTGCTCTACAGATACTTAACAATAACTGTTAATCAGTGACATGAAATTTGCACAAATAGCTTTAATCCCACACACCTCACTGTTGCTGTAACGAGCCAGTTCTGATATGAAACGCATATGGTCGTCTCTGATTTGGATCATCTGCTCACATATATTGTATTGGGGACTGCTGCTGGAAGACGTGCATGTCCATCTGTTTCAGAAGACAAAAAAACCCACCTAAATCAGTTTAGGCAATAAACAGTACAACTGATACTGCAAAGAAAGATCCATAATGCGCAACTCTTTTTAAAGTCTTCCTTCTCTGAGGCCTTTCCTCTCTTCACACCTCTACCTCTCACCCTGCACAATCCATTAGTGATGGACTGCCCTTCTGAGTTCAAATAGTACTTCTTCCAAGTCTTAAAAACAAAAACTTTTTTTTTTTTTTTTTTTTTTAAAAAGGCTGTTGCTATGAAATACAAACCAGTGTCTCTCTTCAGGAGCAGGATTGAAGGGCAGGGCAGAAGCATAGGTACAGGCTGTACGATACATCTAGCTACCTTCAGATTGTTTATCGTTATTCTTGTTTAACTATGAAGAGCCTACAGTGTGATCCCAACTATAAAAAAGGGCATTATTAAATACTATTAACATGTTATCCAGAGGGACACAAAAGACATGCTACCAAGAATGTCATGTTAAGTAGCCTCATATTTTTAGTAGCTCAGTAGGCCCACTGCTGTTGATTTTCTCTTAGCAATTACATGCAGGTTATGTGTTTTTTCTGCAGGAATTAAAATGCAAAGCACTGCATTCTAAATTCATGTAACTGCATGGAGGGAAGGTCTTGGAGAGGCACAGAAACGTTCACTAAAACAAAGCAATAACCATAAACCATGGAACCATTTATGTAACAACTGGCTGCATTTTCCAGCCATTCTGCTGTGCTGCATACCTAGCCAAAAAAAAAAAAAGAGGGGGGAGACAAGCTACGTTGCTGCTCCATATACAATATACACATGCCTATTTACCCATGCACTACTACCGCTCACCTTGCTTAGTAAAATCCTTCATTTCTTTTAAAGAAAGTTTCATATTTAAAGGAAAAAATAAAAATGAAATTAGTGTAAGATAAAACTCATTTCCTCCAACCCAGGTGATAAGAAACGTCACAGATACAAGAATGAGCTCAGCAGCATAGAAAGGTCTTTAAACCTGTTTCTTTAGTTGTATGTTACATGAATTACATTAATAGTGAAATACCCACACCAAAAAGCAGACCAAGGTGAAAACCCTATTAAAGTAATTACGACAGACTCACAGACTAATGGGTGATTATGAAAATATACTCCAAGGGTCTGACTTTCCCCAGCCCGGATGCTCCCCTCTGTTTCCTTCTCCCTCTTACCTGGATTTATTTTCCTCATAATGGGCACTGGTCTTAATGTATCTTGCAAGTTCAATCTGCATGTCACCAAACAGTGGGACAACCTGCAACTGCTGTACACAAGGAATAAATCAGATTAGATAAATTATTAAACACAAATCTTAGTGAAAGGAAACCATTATTTACCCATGCTACAGTCCAAAGTGAACTTTATTCTATTTAATTATATTTAAAATGCAAGGAGAACTACCTTTAAAATCACATAATAAGATCACATCTTAACCAACCTTGAAGAACTTGTCTATCTTGGCTAAATTTATCCTTTTCTTTGCATCCAGCTTATAGATGTTACTGACACTTCCATCCATCAGGTACAATCCAAACCCCATAACCTGAAAAAGAAAACAATCAAACCTCAAACAAACAAAGCACCTCAGAGGTAAAAACCTGCTGCAGTAAGATCATGCTTAATATCATTAAAAAAAAAAGGTAATACTTTAAAAACAGTCCTGAAACACCCACCCTCCTTCAAACAGAATATATTTTCAAATACATACATTTCTGTAGTATTTTTTAATTTT